TGCAAAAAATAAGAGAGAAATATAAAAACACTCAAGGTTCTACACTATGATGAGGCATTCATTTAATGTCACAAACAGTAGTGTGCGAAGGAAGTGAGGATAGGATGAGAATGTCGTTGCAAATTATTGACGTGCGGCTTTACTAGAAAATATCTGTCATTTGACGTATAAAAACTTCTCTCTTTCAGTCGTATATTTTTATATTTGCCACTACACTTCAATATATTATCTGCAAGCCACATGTTTGCAGAGAGTATAGATAGTACTTGTGATAATATATTAGATATCTGTAAAAAACAAGAACAAACGAAAGTTTTACTTGTTTTTTTTATGCATCCTTGTTAATGAGTTGATAGATACGGTAGTTCGAAAATTAACCAGGTTTAAGAAAAGTATTGCATGAGTGTAACAGAGTCAATTTTTTTTATTCTTTTACTTTGACTTCAAAATCGTAAGATAATCTTCCTGTGTGAACCGTGTTTCTTGTTGTTTTTATCAGCTAGATAGGATAGCCTATTTCAATAAGATAAATGTTTTCTTCCTTAGAAAACGGAAAATGGTAATTAAGGAAGAGAATGAGACTGACTTTTGTCTTGGTTTTTAGATTTGCTTTTGAAAAAATGTCGTCATCTGTGTTCATCTTTGGTGCGAGTGGTTATATTGGTCTCGGTGTAACTCTAGCCATGCGCCGTGCTGGCTATCAAGTCTATGGAATGATTCGTAATGCGAAACATTCTGCTACGCTGATTCAAAATGAGATCGAACCTATTGTGGCCTCGTCATTCGAAGATGTTCAGCAAGTTGCCAATATTCTTGCCTCATGTTCAATTATCATCGATGCTGTCGGATTCAACCCAAAACTGTCACCTATAGTTCTAGAAGCGGCTCTTCGCGCTGGACGCGATCGAACTCAAAATGGAAAACTGGCACACTACGCTCCACTTTTCATCTTTACTTCAGGCATCATGACTTGTAAGTTTATATTTGCTTCCCAATAGACCTGCGAGTTTTTACCAGATAGACAGTCACCACACAGAGTTAATAAATAATAATCTGAAGGATATGTGTTTGAGCGAGATTAAATTTGCGTTTTTTTTTTTATCGGAAAAAATCACAAAATCTATAGAGTCGTTTCGAATATAGCTATTAATGCACAACTTGTCTCTCAATAACTATGATTGTTCCTCATTTCAAGTATAATATTGAGTTGATTAAATCATGTTTTGCCTAGATGGTGACACATCTTCAACGGGTCGTCGTCCGGTCGATGAAACAATCAAGCCGCGACCTCAAACGATGAAAGGTCGCTCCAGTACCTCATCAGCCGATGTGACGAACATGAAGGAACGAGAAGACTACGAAGATAAAGTCTTGGCAAGTTCATGTGCCTCACTCAAGACTACAGTCATACGGCCCGGCTTCGTCTACGGTGGCCAAGGTGGTTTTGTAGCCGATTTGTTCTATTCGGAGCCTTTGGTTATTCAAGGACGAAGAGATATGCGTTGGAGCTGGGTTCACATAGACGATCTGGCTGAAGGTTATGTAGCCGTAGTACGAGCTCCACGTAGTGTTGTTGGTGGACAGCGTAAGGTTTCCGTATGAAAGAATAGAACAAGTTCGAACCTTGAGTTTCGTTTCTAGTCTATAATCTTGCTGCTCCGAACGACAATCCGACTTACGAAGAATTGCGAACAGCAATGGCTAAAGCTCAAGGTCGAAAAGAGAAAATTGAGTACAAGGAAGCCGTTGGCGATACACCATCACGATGGGATACGGATTCGTAAGTTTTTCTCAACTGAATAACTAAAGATTATTTATTTTCGTTGCCATAGGATCATCAATCCAGCCAAGGCTATGAATGAGTTAGGCTGGCGACCACGACATGTAGGTTTTATTGAAGAAATTGACACGTATTACAAGGCTTGGGCAGCTCACAAAGATGCCCAAAAGGCAGCCAAGTAATTTTGGTTTGCAAGTTTTTGTCTAACAGTATGGCTTGAAGACGAAAGAAATTCGAATTATTCGAGACATTCATTAACATATTTTGCGCCCATCCCTTATTGTGTGTAATAACAATCGAATAAATCTTTGAAAGTAGACAACTTTCTAACTAATTTGAACGGAACAAAAGTGGGGATATGGGTGTGAGAGTATGGATGTGGGTGTGAGATGTGTGCTAGTGTTGGTCTTCATTCAATCGTACTCACGTTCACTCCTTGCTTAGCTTTTCCATAGTTTTTGTTTTTATTTTCTTGAGAAAAAACAGTTAACTACTTCGATCTTAATTGACTTATTTACAAATTTAACAGTCTTCACTATTACTATACTTTCATGCTCGAAATGGATACAAGCATGTGTAAAAAAATATATCTAGACCTATGTGATAAATACGGGTTATGAAGTATGTTTACGTACAAGTTCATCAGAAAAATTCACTTAGAAGAGCAATACTGTACACTATTGTAGTCAGGAACCATTTCATTACCAATATTTCTGTAGAAATAAATCAACAATGTTAATCGATTTTCTGAATGAATGTGAAGAAAACTTTTCTTAGTTATTTTTCGGATAGTTCGTGATATTCAGCGGAAGTTGTAGGCGAATGTTGGTAAAAAAATAATGAAGATGAACTTCGAAGTTGAGTTGGTAGTGTACAATAAGTGCTAGTTTACTATAACTCGAAGGAAGATGAAATGTGAACATTGGTGAAGCCGTGCGGGGCACATGCAGCTAGAAGTTTTCTTGAATATGTATGCTTCGAAGTTGGTAGGTTTTTCCAAATCGTGACGCATAAGATGGGTGTGGGTGTACGTGTGAGTCTACCTTTTATACCCACACGAGACCCACACCCACACCCTTCTTGAAATAACATTATTCTCGTCACCTAAACAGATATTCTCAGAAAACATGCTAGCAATTATCAATTTGCTCAATCGATTACAGTAAAATTAAATTGAGCAAATCGCATCGTGTATAATTTCTCACCAACAGGCAATGATAGGATCAGATTGATGGAAGTGCATAGTATCATAATGGTATTCATTTGAATTCTATTCGTTTCAAGTGGTATTTTCTTTGCATATTATTGGAAGCAATGGTGGTCCGACCGAAAAGTATGCGACAAACCTATCCGGTTTGCAGCACACCGAGCGATTACGCTTCTCGCCGTTGTATTAACAATGATTGGCTTTGTGCTTATTCTTATCTATAAGAGTAGCACATAGGTATCGCGCAATCGCATTCGTGAATTTGTCCATTCGATTCTCGGCATTATTGTCATAAGTGCTAGCGTTATTCAACCATTCATGGCTCTATTTCGATGTAAACCGGATGATAAAAACCGTTTTATATTTAATTATGCCCATGCCATTGTTGGGTTGATGGCTTTCATTCTATCGATTGTGACTATTTTTTTAGTCATGTTCTTTACAGAAATCAGTTTTCAATTGGAAAACGCATGAAGCTTCCTAGTCGCATGGATCTGTTGAATTATATTGATCTTTACCGTTTTCGAATATCTCGAGCGTTGCTTAGGCGGCAAGCCGAAGTCGGAAGAAAGAAATGAAGTCGATTGGATGAATATTCATACTTACGAGGATGAAGTAAACAAAGTTGATGATTTTACCGCTACTCAATCTTTCATCAACGATCGTGTCAAAGGAGTTCTTCTTTTAGTTCATTTCCTTGTTGCATTGGATCTTTCGTTAGCTCTAACTATTGTGATCGGACAATCGTCTTAATATGAATCGATATCATTCTAACAAACAGATCTTGTTCATTTCTTCACTCATTTACAATATATTTCTCATTTTCTTGAATATAGATAAAAAGTTTATAAAGGTGGGTATAGAAGGGCTTTGTTACCCACCCACACTCCATATCTCATCTTAGTTTATTAGCAAATATTTGAATCCTTCTGCCGGTTAAAACTTGATCAGAAGCACCAATCCGAAGTTGATAGGATTTAGAATAAAAACACTGTTTTTCTTCTTGGACTTTAAAAAAGATTTTTTCAGCATTTTTCTAGTTTGCCATGATTTTGAAGCGTTAATATCCAATCCTTTTATTGACAAGTAAAGCTCTACATATCTCTACCATGTTACCAATAGAAGTATCTAATTTGTTGTGATCCGCAATTGCAGCAATATTTCCATTATCTGGGACGACCTTCGTATAAACATCTACTCCAACAATGGCTATAATCATGAAATTTTCATGAAATACTTGATTAGTATAAAGAATTCGCTGAAAAAAATTTCCAGGTAAATGCTTGAAATCAGTCGAAATTACAGATTACTGTTTTGGCGAATCCTACCAATTCTCATGCTAAGAATACCTAAAAATCATCTCATAAATCAAGCTAACTATAATTGTTGAATTTGAAATTTTTATCATTGATAGAGGCAATACTAAACACTCGAATGGAGGATACACAAGTTTGAGATTTACTGCTCATGCTGAAATATCCTCATCTGAATAAAGCATCTATTTTGGTCTTCTAGCTCGTCCCCATAAACATCGATCAATTCATAATTACTACTTACGATTAGGATTCGTCATATTCTACTAGTCATCGAACACCTTTATTTTAGTTTTGCATATTAAGAAGGATATTATTTTACTGGTATATTAAATAGTAGATACTAGTCTATGCTGACATTGATCGAAATTACTTCATAAGGCTTAATTCATTGAAGAACTCTTTCATTCTTGAAAAAATTGAAGAAATACAAGTATTGATATATATATATATATATGCAGACTAATCTCTTCACCAGCATTACACAATAAACTTCCACTTCATTATGTCATGTGCATTGTCGAAGCCATATAGATTTTTAATTACTAAACTTTTGTTATCAAGAGACTACACACTAACCTTTCAAACATTTTTGACAATACGTCTGTACGCTTCTTATTTGTATTATATTGTCAAATTTTAGAGGATTAGTTAATAAATGATAGAGAACATTTTTTTTGTTTTGTGACATAAAGTGATCTTGTTCATTCATATATACTTTCTGTATTAATGTTCTAATATTTTAACGAAATGAAAAGGAATACACATATACATTTATACATAGAGAGAATGTTTTGAAAAATTATAGAATCATCTGTTCAATTCTAGTTGTTTGCTAGTTTAGACTTCTAAGAGAAGCAAAGTCTATGTGACTACATATGTTTGATTATGCTCTATTGAGCTATGAAATCAGATTCCTCAGTGCTACTACTAAGTTCAAGAAAAAAAACAAATATCTGCTGAAATCGATTAATTTTTGTTTGTGAAAAATTTCCAGAATCAATGTCGTAGTTTCATTGTTTTGACATCAAGATGGCATCAGTTTTGATTGAAATCCAAATACAAAAGACCGATTTTTCGACAAAACGAGAAGTTCGAGAACTCGGTACATCATTTTGTTTCAAAGAGACATACAGTGCCAAAACTGACAACAATGATGTACGAGGATTTTAAATTGTTTTTTTTGTACTTTTTTCATGCATACTAGTAGTATCTGTTTTGATACTGCAGATATCTGCAACAAAATGATGTACCAAGTTCTCAAGCTTCTTGTTTTGTCGAAAAAAGTGTCTGATATAAGTATCTATAAGTCGAAAAATCAGCCTTGTGTATGTGACTTTCAAGTAAAACTGAAGTCATCATGATGCCAAAACAACGAAAATACAATATTGATTTAATAATTTTTCACAGCACTATATATATAAATATATATATATATGAAGACGTATATATCATATTAATTGTTCAAGTTCATCAGCTGATCGACATAAATATGAAGCTGCTTCACGATAAGCATTGACGAGAACTTTAATAGAATTTACTTCTGTGTTAGATAATTTCATTTGTTTTGATGATTTAATTGATGATGAATCACTTGTTCCTATATGAAATTATAGAAATAAAACATAAAAATTATATGAAACAAAGAAAAAAAAAATAACCATTCGTATGGGTATGAGATGAAACAAATGTTGGTGGAGGTGGTGGTGGTAATGGTGGTGGTGCAAGTGATGTTGTATTTGTTAAAGATTGAAGAAAAGTTGATGAAGAAAAATTTGGAGGAAAAAGAGATGATGTTGAACTAGTACCATTCGAAGGAGTAGTAGGTGAAAAATAAGCAGATAAATCAAGTGATGGTCGAAATTGTTGAGAAAAAGCATGACGAAGAAAATCAGCATCAAGTGCTGACAATGTTGATGATGATACCAAATCAGACTATGAATAAAAAATAATTAATATTGCAATTTCTTTTTTTTTTTTTGTAATTTAACTTACTGTTTTTGTTGTTGGATTATGTGAAATTGAATTTGATCGATTTTTTTTGCTATTGTTTTCATTAGAATTAAAACGTTCATTTGTTGTAGATAAAACTTTAGAATGATCCTTACAGAAAAGAAAACAAATATTATTATTAATTCAACTTAAAATTAAATGTTCTACCTTATGTACAAATGAATTAGTTGTATGTGATGAATGTGTTGAAGATGATGATTGAGTTTTACGTAATTTTAATGTACTACGAATCATTCGTCGAATACGATCAATAGATAAATCACGATATTGTTCAATACAAGCACTTTCAAGTGTTTTCAGTTGTTCATCATATGTTGAACCGGTTGATGTTGATTCATTAATTAATGTTTGAATAAATGACTATAAAAAGAAAATGATCTGACTATATATAGTAAGGTAAACTTTCTTATTAACTTACTTTAAGATTTTTTATACGTTGTTGTGATTCATTTTCTTTTTTAACTTTACTATTATCAGTCGATTCAATTTGACCCGATGAATCATTTTGATTTGAATGATGTAATTGTTTAGCTGATGAAGTTCCGTCAGTACTATGAGGTGATCGAGAGCGATCTCTTGGTGAATGAGCAAGCATATCTAAAAAAAGACCTAGGTGTGATCACCTATTTAACAGCAGTTACAATGATATATCTTAATATGAAATAATGAAGAAAAGAAAAAGAAGAATCTCGTGTTCATTTCATTTTCTTTTTTTTTTTTTTTGTCCTCATCATTTTTTCCTTTCAGTTGTTCTTTCATTATTTATGAAAATACGTAGTGATGAGTGAACAGACCTGATATGTTCTCATTTTTTTTCTTTCTCTCTCATTTTTTTTTCTCTTCATATATTAATCTGTTGACGCTCTACCGCATGTTCAGTTTGACATGCTCGTCGACTTGTCTCACTAATAGGACGATGCTTGAATCAATTTCAAAAAACTTTGAGCTGCACATAAGAGAGGAAAGCGGCACACAACGGACGGAAGGCTATCTTCCTGTATTGTTCTCCCCCCCGAAAAAAGTTTTGCTCTTTCTTTTTGACTAAAAGACATCTCAACATTATAACTAACGAAGGTGAAAACCGGTAAACGTCTTTATGTGTGTAATGTCGATAAAGTATTAAAAACAGAAAGAGAATGTAGTAGTGAGTATGCTTATTCCGCTCGTCTAACAAAGAAATTGATAATGAAGACGAACGACAAGACATTTTGCACTATTACTCATATAACTTTTCCTTCTCTTCATCTTTCCCCAAAAAAAAAGAACGGTGTGTTTCTTCTTTCCGACGAAACCGACAATTTCTTTTCTCGTCGTCCAAAAAAAAGAAAATGACTATGACGATAAAGGCATGAAGAGAAGATCATGTTTTCTATTCTTAAATGGAATAATATAAGATGAATGAGCACATATACACAAACATGCACACGCTACATAGCTTAGAGTCTATCATCACATACGAAGACAATCGCAACTAACCAAGATTGATTCGATAGTACAAAGGAAGTGAAATAGTGACGTTATAATAACAGTAAAAAGAGAAAAAAATGAAGAAATTCCATCGTCTATCTGTTATCATTAAATGATGTTAGCATATATTCTTTATATAACAAAACAACGGAAATATTTTCAATTAAAATATTTTTTTTTAAAATATTTGATTTCAGTTTAGCATATTTTTTTTCAAAATATTAAAGTAGTAAAAAGAATAAAATTACAATGTATATATATATATATAATAATCATATTGTTGTTTATCAATGATCCACTTTCTTTGTTTCTCTAATCATAGACTTCAATAATTTTTAGATCCATCAGTTCGGCTTTATCTCTCCAATGAAAATAGTAACAAAAGAAAGTCTATAAAGAAAAAAAAACGATGAATGAAGGAAGAAAAATAATCAGTGAATAGAAAGACAATCACAAAAAAATCCAATCGATCAGCAAATCTTAATTTATAGACTGACAGAAGAAACTAAAAAAAAAGAGACAACAACAAATTTTAATAAACGAAAAATATGTTATATATTCGCATAAGTATGATCTATTTTCTCATACAATCTTATTACTTTCGAGTTGCAAATAACGAACTGATTATTATTGTTACAAAGCTATGTGTTAATGATGAGCACATTTTTTGAAGTAGAAGAAATCAAAATACAAATGATACGTACTCAATATTATCTTCTATTGCGATATATATCTCTTAAACCTATTGGGAATAAAATGATATTTTATTGTTGAGAAATTATTTGTTCTGCTTATCATTATTGGTTGGCTGCATTTAATGAAACAATATAATTAGCTATGACTTTAAGCATACCAGAAGAATGAATCTTTTTTATTTTGTATACTTTTCATCTAATATTTAAAGGAAGCGTGCGTGCCAAATTACTAACCTCGGGTCTCAAAAAAAAATCTATTCTTAGTTTTATTAACCTCAGAACTAGTACTGAACAATGATTATTATCTCCAAGTTTATTTTGTGCTTTTACTACAACTCAATTTGTTTAGCACCTACGGTTCAGTGGGCGAAAAGAAGATTGACACCCACACCCATACTCATTCATTGGCAGAGAAAGATTTAAATGTTCACGAATTTTTTAAAGAACCTAATAGACAAAAAGATTTGGTATCGAATGCATTTAATTGTGACGAAACTAATTTGAATTGTGATAGATCCTTCAAATCATAACTTAATTCGTATAAGATTACTGTCAAGATTATTTGTGAAATGTATAAGATGGCAACTCATAAAGGTTGACACATGTTGTTAAGATTTCATTGACTATTAGTCAACATCAAAGTTCACTGATCATTGAGCTCATTTGTTGCGTCGAGCTTAGAAGATAAAATTATTCGAGTCGAGTTTCTAAAAAAAATGTTTTCATACATGAAGATATATTAATGCTATCATATAATCATTTTAAAAAAAGATACCATCTTAGTCGACATGTATTTGTTTCTATAGTAAATTAATGAATTCAATGTATCGGTACATTTGGAAAGAAAACTGAAGGAAAAACCATAATAGATTAGTTTTGTTAAGACATTAGAGAATACTAAAAGCACTAACATGAATTAATTTCATATGGCGAATACGATTTGACTTAAATCTAAAAATTTGATTTTTCTATCCATTACTTGAGATTTAAAAATACAAAAATTACAAACAATCGATACTTATATTTTATTCAAGTTATTTCATTCATGTGATATCTAATTAAGATTCTATAGAACTGTTTTCATAGTAATATTGAGATATAACTAAAAAAACAAGAATCACAGATTCAGTCATCTTAGTCTAACTAGGGTTTGGATGTGGTGTTGATCAAGCGATAACTCACACCCACATTCTTAAAAATCACTAATCATAAATCAATTTGCTGGATTTATAGATATTGAAATTAAAGATGATATACTCCAAAAAAAAACGGTTCGCTTCTCTAGGCTCTGGCAACGTGAGGGAGGAGAAGTGTCAAACTCCTTTTCTAGAGCGCTCCTTATGATTTACTTAAAAGCTGTGAACTGATGAAGTTAAAATTTTGACAAATAATTAAAATCAGTGTTTCTAAGATTATCAAGTTATATTATAGTATGTTAAGATCAGCTATATATATAATGGATATGTATACAATAAGCTTGTTTGTCAGTTAAACTAATGGCGAGGATAATAATAATATTAAATTATACAACATAGAATACAAAAATGAAAAGCAATAAGACAAAGCAAAAACAGAGCATTAGTAAAAAAAAGAAACAACTTCTATTCGAAATACAAAAGTAAATAAGACAGATCGTTTCCCTGGCAATCGATTATCTTTTGAAAATAACTATAATTGGCTAGAGATTTTTCATTTAATGTATTTTTTATTAATATAATGAGGCGCATAAATATATGTAAGTTCCACATTTTAGCTTCAAGAATGTTGCACTGACAAACTTGTTTTTGTTTTTAAATGTATAATGATCATTCAATCGATGAGCATTGTTAATGTGTTACAACTCAATGAATTCTTTTCTAAAAATAGAAAAGCAATTTTTATTTTTGTAAAGTTATTCTGATCAAACCGATAGCCTCATCTATCCATATGTAAATTTTCATTCGTTAACCAATAAGAATTCTTTTTTTTTTTTTGTCTCTATTAAAAGTTTTTTTTTTTACCTTCACGATAGAAACATATACTCAGAACAATATGCTTATCGATATAGTGTTCGTATGTTTATGTGATTGAATTTTTTTTTGTGACACCATTATTTAAAAAGCTTTTTCTTTTTTCTTTCATTGACTCTTTTCTATTCATTACATTTACACTTTATAAACCTGTTACTTTTCTATGTTCGCTCGTTTGTCGATGACTTATGTGAATAAGTCATAGTAGAAAAAAAAAATGATTATTCAATTTAATAGGATTATGAAATCAACAGATGTTACAATCATATGATATTTCCAAGAAAATTGTTTAATTTAAGGAATGACGACTACTGACGATAATATTGTTCAAATTCAACAACCATTTCCTGATAAACTTGTTATACCAGCTGCTGAATCTAATAAACAACCAATTTTAGATATATTACTCGATAATATAATACCTTCATCAATACCAGTTTCTATTCTTGAAATAGGTTCAGGTACTGGTCAACATATTGTTCATTTTGCTGCTTATTTTCCTCTTGCTACTTTTCAACCATCGGATAATGATTCAAAATATTTAAAAAGTATTCAAGCTTATACTGATGAATATGAAGTAAATGCATTTACAAAAAATGTAGCATCACCTTTATATATTGATGTTCTTGCACCGATTACAATTACTAAACAATCTTTTGATTTTATTTATTGTTCAAATTTTATTCATATTACACCAATTGAATGTACACAAGGATTATTTAGATTAGCTAAACAAGTTTTAAAATCAGAAGGTAGTTTAATTACTTATGGACCTTATGATTTACTTGATGATGGACGAATTACACCAGAAACGAAGCGACGTCTTCATGCTTATCTTCAAATGCAAGATCCACCTTGGGATTTAAAAAATATTGATGAACTTAAAATTATTGCTAATGATTATCATTTTGAACTTAAACAAATATTTGATATGCCTGTTAATAATAAAATTTTATGGTGGATTAAAAAGAATGATTTATGATGAAATTACTATGTTATTTTTTTCAAAAAACAAAGATATTAAAATAATTCGAATCATTCAAGATTCAATATTGAATGAAAATATGTTATGTACTAACTTTTTGTTTGTTCTATTGATTGTAAATTCTTTTTTTTTCATATGAATCTAAATTTTGTAAAAAAAAAAAATTTCGACTTCTTTTATTGATTAAAGAGATGTGTTGATTAAGATTACGGTATCATATAGAAAAGCCCATTTCAATCTATTTCCTATTCAAATCAATGGCATATGAAAGTCTGAACTCATTCGTCTACTTTATGAACATCTTCAAATTTGGTCGTTTCTAATTTTCAGGGTAAAAAAAAAAATTTAAGTAAAGTTTTGGCACTTTTTTCTAGAAAAACTCTGCCTTTCTACCATAGGATCACATTGGATCCGTGTATGATCGCCTTCTATTTTTGTCTAATTGGATTGAGTACTCTACAGATGAAAAATCGACCATTTTCGTATTTCATTGGCCTACCCGGATTCATAGAGTCCTGAATATCAACATTCATAAAAAAAAGAACATGCATTTTTTCTCTCTCTCTCGCTCTTCTCTTCATAATTTTTGGCTATTGCACTAAAACTATTGTTCATTGTTTGTTACAAAATATATTCATATCAGGGAAGCGAATGACGTCACATATTAACTAAAAAATCAAATATTGCACTTAGTTCTGTATGCAATATTTTAACCACAAAAATTTAATTGATTATCAACAGAACAAAATCAAAGTTCTGACATAATAAAACTTGATGAAAATATATATTTGGATGAATTGTACAGCATAACATGCATCATCAAATTCATACATATGGAGACTGAAATAAATCACTATTTTTTATTCTATTGAAAAGTTTTTAGATTTATAAATATTCAAATGAAGGAAGATAAATAGCACAGAGGTCACCCTTTAATTACTTCAAAACTAATAAAGAAGCTTATATTTTGATAGTATGTTTTCATTTCGCAGTATACTATAGAGAAATACCTCTAGGAAGTTTCGACAATGTTCATCTGAGAGAAGCTTTACTGTAAATTCTTTTTGAATAAAGAATATAGTTTATCTATTATATAAGCTGGTTAGCATACACACAAATTATAGAATTAAATTAATTATTCAAAGTTGTGATTTTCTTCAAAATTCTTGTTAATCTATTAGTTGATCTTCTTCTTCTTTCTTTTATTATTATTATCATCACTAGGCTTGTGATTCATACTATCGTCCTCTATGCATATATAGTAATAAAATGAACTATATCGTCATTTTCTATTCTAACGAAAGAAAGAAAAATCGTATCCAATATAAACAGTTGTTTTCTTTTTAATGTATTGGTTTATTGTTATTTGAATGAATTCATAAAAAAATTTCGTATATATATATATTTTTCTAAAAATTACTCCGTTGTCTTTATGCCAACATTATTTTGGGAACGACTTCAAAAACATTTATCATCTTCTAATTTTATTGATAATTCTAAACTAGAAAAAATTATGAATAAACGGTGAGAATAAATTTTTATTGAATTATATGTTTCCATTTTTGTTTTAGAAAATATTCTAATTTCAATCTTGATACATGTGATGAACCTGATTCACCTTGGTAAGTGATATTAACAGTTGATTAAAAAAAAATGTCTATAAATATTAATTATATAAGGTATACTGGTTCTAATACAATAAAAAAACAAAAACGTTTAACTACTTCTTCCATGCCTTTATCTACATCGAATCGTAAATCTTCAAAATTAATTGATAAAACTTCATCTATAGAAAATATTGATGATGATGATGATCTTATCATTCCATTAAAACGTACAACACGAAAAAAGAAACCTCAAATAATAGTCTCATCTGATTCTGACTCTGATGCAACAATTATTATTGATGATGATGACGATGATGAAGATAAAGAACAACGAAAACCTATTAAAAAGAAAGTTGTACATCGACGTAAGATAATCATTCTTATTAAATAAATAAATATATATATATATTTTTTATTCATTTGTTTGTTTGTTTGTTTTTTGCTAGCCGAAATAGCTGAAAATAAATTAAATATAGAAACAAAACAAGCTATGAAAGAACAAACTGAACGTGATAAACGTATTCAAATTCAACAAGAACATGAAGAATTAGCTCGTTTAGAACGTATTCGAAAACAAAAAGAATATAATGGAGATATACTTACAAAACATGAACAAAAACACTTACCAGTTGCATTTGAATTAGTACTTGAAACAGATCCAAATACAAATGATATTATTATTGAAGTTGATTTAATGCTTGTTCAATATATGAAACAACATCAAGGTAATATAAATTCAATGCATTAGTCATGTTCATTTATTTTTAAAATTTATTAGTCGAAGGTGTTCGATTTCTTTGGAATCAAGTATTTGAATCAACAGCACGAATTGCAGCTAGTATTAATAAAGAAACAAATGAAGATCATGGAGGTTCAGGTGCTATTTTAGCTCATTGTATGGGTTTAGGTAAAACATTTACAACTATATCATTGATTCATACATTATTTCGTTATCCAAAATTAACTCATATTCATCGAGTATTAATACTTTGTCCATTAAATACTGCAAATAAGTATGTATGATTAGACTTTTTCTTTTTTAATTTATTTTTGATTAATTAATATTCTTTAAGTTGGAAAAATGAATTTCGACAATGGATAGGTGATCTTGAACCATGTATTAATGTTTATTTATTCAGTGCTGATGATATACAAAAAAAAGATCGTATACAATTTCTTCGTTGTGTAAAATCGATGTTTTATTTTTAGAAATTATATTATTTATAATTTTTTTTTTATTTAGTGGTATGAAGGTGGTGGTATATTAATAATGGGTTATGAAATGTATCGTTTATTAAATTATGCATCGGAACCAACTATTAAAACTTCAAGTAAAACTGCAAAGAAAAAACAAAGATCAACTGAAGATAATGATGATGATTCATCAAATAGGAATGATGAAGGATGGACAAAAAAGCCAACTAAAACTAAGGCTAATTTAGCTACTATTGAAAAATATCGTAAGTATCGAATACTTTTCGAATAAATGAAAAGAAAAAAAAACATATGTTATTTTTTTCCCTATTAGGAAAATATCTTCGTTCACCTGGTCCAGATTTAATTGTCTGTGATGAAGGCCATATAATGTAAGTTAGTTTTGTTTATGCTTATTTCATTAGAATTTTTTCTTATTATTAGTAAAAATCCAAAGAGTGCTATTGCTCGTACAGTAAATGAAGTACGTACATTACGTCGAATTGTGTTGACTGGTACACCAATGCAAAATAATTTAAAAGAATATTATGCTATGATTAATTTTTGTAAACCAAATTATCTTGGTTTGTTTGAATATAGTTATTGTTTATTTTTTTGAAAATTCATAAGAAGAATTTTAGGTACGGAACATGAATTTTCTCGAAATTTTCGAATACCTATCGAAGCTGGTCAACATAAAGATAGTTCACCAGGTGATGTAGCATATATGAGACGTCGAGCATATGCATTAAATCAACGTTTAAAGACTATTCTTCATCGACGTGATTTTGATGTATTACGTTCATTTTTACCACCAAAATTCGAATATGGTATGTATGATATTATATGAATAAATGAATGTCGTGTTCTTGTTGTTTTTTTTTTAATAAGCTGTAAAAATAAAATGTATGCCATTACAACAAGAACTCTATCAAACATATTTATTAATTCAAAATATTGATCCAACAGCTCGACTAAGTAGGTTCTTCTTGTTTGTTTGTTTTTTTTAAAGATTAAAAATATTCTATTTTACTATTTTTAAGATATGGCTAAATTACTCACAGATTATCAATATTTGATGAAGATCTGGACAGTAAGTTTTAATTTTTTTTGTTTTTGTATTCTTTATAGATAATTTCATCTTTTAGCATCCATGGCTTCTTAAACCTCATTTTATTGATGGTTATCAAAAATATTTAAGAGGTCAAGATCAAGTAGAAACGGATCAATTTTTTCAAGATGATCCGGATGATATCGAAGATGAATACGAAGGATCACGAACTCAAAAACGTACTAAACAAGCATCTAAAGACAAAATTACACCATCAGTAAGGAATTTCAATAGATTACAAATAGGTTACTTCTAGAAACTACAAAATAAGATAGAATTTGAAAAGAATAGTCCACACCAGAGACGTGCACCATCCACATCCCAATGGAAAGTATGACTTATATCGGAGCAGCCACCCCACTCGAAAAATTTGAGAGTGGAACTAGCGCGGAGCTATCGGGCGAACGCAGCTTGATCATATTAGCAATTACAATTTCTTGAAGTTGAAACCGAACAATCCAAATCAATGTTAATCTCGTACAGGACTGACATTTTATTTTTATTCTACTCTGGAAAATTAGAGCAAAGTAAAATCAACAAGTTTATCCATTAAGGTGAATTATATATACTTTACCTGAAGAGTATGGTGCGAACCAGAGACATGCGCTGCCCGGTGGGAGTGGAGAACAGAGGCGTCCGTCCCGCTCAACGAAAAGGCTTTTGGTGCAGTGTTCGCCGTCCGTGCGGCGTTTTTTAGGTGTGGTACATATCTCTGATACATACATATACGAATTGAGATGCAATTTTTGTTTTAAACGAGAATACACCATTTTCTGTGGATAAGAACATTCATTGTCATCTTGTTTTTTAATTGTAAATTATAAGTAAAAATTAAAATAACCATGGATGTTCATGTAGTATCCATTTCGAACTCTATTTTACTTTGCAACTTTCGCACTGTCCGTAGGTTTTTAGAGATATATCCTTAGAAATAGAAGAGAAATAAATTTATAAAATTTTAGACAACTACTACCACTTCTCGATCGGTAATCAGCAAATATTTTTCAAATACGAATGATCGAGATGATACAATAAGTACTGATAGAATGGCAAACGTATTAAAAGCAATGAAAAAAGAATGGTGGTATGATATGTTCGATGTAGAACAATCACAATTTGATGTAAGTTTTTATTCGAAAAAAAAAAATCAAAAAGAATTTTTTTCTATCTTATTAAGATTGAACTTTCGGGTAAATTTGAATTATTTCGAGCAATTTTAAATGAATGTGAATCAATTGGTGATAAATTATTGGTATTTACTCGAAGTCTTCTTTCACTTGATTATATTGAACAATGGCTTGAACGTTGGAGTACAAGAGCACCTTCACCAAAATGGATTAAGGGTACTGATTATTTTCGTATGGATGGTAAAGATTTTATATATTTTATTGATATTATAAGAAAAAGTTTTTAATAATAGGAAAAGTTCCAATTAAACAACGAGCAATTGATATAAAAACATTTAATGAAATTGAAAATACTCGAGCACGTTTATTTCTTATATCAACTATGGCTGGTGGTATTGGTATAAATCTTTATTCAGCTAATCGTGTTATTATTTTTGATGTTAGTTGGAATCCAGGTAAGTTTTATCTTCAAAAAAAAATTTAAAAAAGAAAAACCATCACCCTGAAATTCTTTAAGCACATGATCTTCAAGCTATGTTTCGTTCATATCGACTTGGACAAAAGAAACCAGTCTATATTTATCGTAAGATTTTACTCGAAAATCGAAACAATCAAATGAGATTTTTTTTTTGTTTTAGGCATTATTGGTAAAGGTACCATGGAAGAAAAAATCTATAAACGTCAAATTACTAAACAAGCTATGTCACAACGTGTTGTTGATTCTAAACAACTTGATCGACATTTTACAAATGATGAACTTTCTCAACTTTATCGATTTGAACCAGATAATGAAGATGATCCATTGGATAAATATGATGCTGATAGAGTTAAAGATAAAATCTTAAGAAAATTAATGGATAATTTTGAAGATTTAATTGTATCATATCG